ATAAAATGTAGTCAGATACACAGTTAAGCACACAAAGTTTCAGTTATAAAAGGAAGGTGCAACCCCCTTAACCCCAGTAGATGGGCCAGATGTATTTAATTGCATGACTGTAGACAGCCAAACTCCAAGACGAGGATTTCTTTTTTGTTTGGAGCTTTAAAATCTTCAGAGTTGCATGAGAACAAACTTCTATTCTTGAGACACAAACATGTGCACATTCTCTCCAAAGTTCAGAAGACAGAAGCAACAACGTCATCAAAACAGCTTTGAGCAGTACAACACTACATTTGAAGCAGTTTGGCTGGGGTACTTTCTAACATCTTTTTTGTGGCAACATATCTTCTGGAAAACATAAGCGTGTGACATTCACTTTTGCAGAATCTTACTCTCCTCCTCCTATAAATCCCAATTCTTTGTGCAGGTGCTCAGCTCATGACATCCATTATGAGTGACAGTGGGCAGGCTAACGAAACTATTTGCAATTGTGTCAGAACTGCAACACACAAGCATTTAAGTGCAGAGTTAAGGAGAAAGATTTAAGGGTAAACAGAAAGTGGTGGTTCTCCAGGCCCAAAAGCAGCTGGATGAGACATCAGCTACAAATAGGCACAGAAAGGCTACTGGTCCTTAGTATGGTCACACAAAGGCACACATTCATCAAAAAAACCCATTAGTTTTATCATATCACCATGATCATAAGAGTAAAGTCATGCCCATTTGACAGTAAAAAGAATTTTTAACTCCTAATATTCTTAACAGACATTTCTTACGTCCTGCTTTTTCCTCAAACTTTAAAACATTTCAATGATTCCCACGTTCTGATTTACTTGTCTTTTAGGAGGCCAGAGAAAAGCATACAGATCTTGGATTTTTGCAAGAAGAGACAGGAGAATTCAGAAGTCAAAACACGATGTGCCATTCCACTGCATCCCTTTCAGATGTCTACACAAAATGAGTGCTTTGAACAGGCAAACAGAGCTCGGACTTTGCAAATAAATTATATAGTTGCAACGTCAAGAATTGTTGCTAGTAGTAGGTAAATACAAAAAAAAAGAATGGTTAGCCTGCACTAGATGTGGTGCTCAGACACTGTTAGCCATGTGCAGTGGACATGTGCACACACACGTAAGCAGACATGTACCAAGGACAGCCTGTGCCTTCCTGCATGGACTCTACCTCCAGGACAAAAGATAAAGCAACAACCAGATTCTTAGTGAGACAGAAACTGCGTCTTGTCAGGTTAAGTTAGATAAGGCTCGATGCAATAAGACTTCGGTGTTACACACCAGTGGGAACCATCGTGGAGATAGACCATAGAGAATGAGGTATCTCAGTCACGTAGAAATTGTTTTCCTGAACGTGACCCAGTCCAAGAAGCTAAACACAAACCAGTGTTTGGTAGCATCGCCATCTCCTGAGTTTGTGACACCAGGCTGTTTCTGAAGCAGCTGGAGAACAGTGTTTATGCTCTTGTCAAATATGCCTTAAAGTTTTGCATGAAGAGGGAGAAGATGAAGCATCACACAGCCCATGTGAACCCAGCTGAACCTATCTAATTAGTCAGTCCCAAGCTCCTGAATACTCAGTTAGTAGTAGGAATAATTGGCTATGGCTGTATATATGAGTATTCAGACCTGTCACTTTAAGCTCTGGCAATGTAATAAAATCCTAAATCTGTTTACTATGGAGATTTTTCTCTTTCCACCCATATAAAAAAGTAGCATCAGGCATGTGACAGACACTTGTTTCAATAATTAAGATGACACCTCAGTTTCTTTGGGAACAAGTCCTACATAAGGTCAGAGCAACACCTTGTCACTAGCAAATAGTACATATGAAGGATCAGCTCCATATAGAAACTCTTCTGCAAATGCCCAAAGCTCACCCACCTACCTCTTCTGACCCAAGCTAGAGCCACCTGTGAGTCCATCCCCACAACAAGGTGAAAAAAGGGTCCATACATTCAAAGATATTCAAACAAAAGCTTTGTAATCCTCAGGCACATCATAGCGGGGTCCCAAGGCTCAGTATACTGTTTCTAAGCACGCATTCACGAAAGGACTTCAATGGCTTTAGATGCTGAGAGGCCCCTGGTGATGGTATAGCTGAAATTACTGAGGAACACACCTTTGCTCAGTCAAACAGGTGACAGGGAAGAGCCACCCATGTCCAGCTGCAAGCAGAAGGCAGAATTTGCCCTGACAAGAATAAGCAAGACAGCAGCAGGATACACTTCTTATACCCTGATGCCAGCAGTGTTTCCAGAAAACATTTTCAGCTGCCTGGGAGGAATATCCTCAATACCAGCTAACCAGTGCTCCCAAGCGTACAAGGACATCCACTCAAAACAAGCTAAAGGGCCTCGGGTTGCTAAATGCTTTTGCCAAAACAATAGTTTACAGTGGGAACAAATAGCTCCTAGGTAAAGGGACATAAAGTCTTCCTGGGATTTCTTCATTAATGCTTCTTTTGAGACCTTCTTTCCCTGAAGCCTGTTTTACTCATAGATTTTTATTTTATTTTGTTTTTGAAATCCCTTATGAGCTCTCCTAGATCCCCCTTTAGCCTTTTAAATTGTTTCCATTTTGTCTTCAAAATATAGTCACCCTTTTTCTTTTGCTATTTCTATTTCTACATGCCACAATATCCTATTTAATCAGTGTCTTAAAAGCTGTTCTTCTAGAGGAAAAAAAATAAAATTCAGAAATCACAGAAACTAACTTCATATACAAACAAGATTTAAAAGACTTTGTCCAATGAATTTTTAAAAAAAAATAAAAATAGAAACTGTTTTCTGGAAAAGTGCATCCATTAGAAGATAAACTCATACTTTTCTTCATTTTCCACTCACCAGAGAAGGACAGCTACTCCAAGTAATCTGAGGGGCTGACTTGGCTGAAGCCCACAGAACCACCTGCTCTTTTCCAGATAAGGTCATATGCGAGTAAGAAAAGGTGAGATGGTTTCAATGGTTCATCCATTTGTTTCAGAAGCCCTTAGCATATCAGGTTCAGGGGCTGTCTTGGTACCACCCCGACCTTGACAAGAGCCATCAGAGTTTATCCTCTGAATCCAAGTTTATCCCTTCTTTTTGCCTGTTAGCTAGCCATACATCTAGACTACCTGGAACGAGGGCTTATTCAGAGGACTGAGCAAACAGCATGATCAGGAATAGGAGTTCAGCCAGTGTGGTTCATCCAGCTGCAGTTTCCACACTTTTACAGTGACACTTGTTTCTTTTTTCCAGATGTTTGCCCTATCCTATTTCCAGAAACCTGGAAACTGCCACAGATCCTAGCAGGCCAAAAAAGGTCCATCTGAGGGGAGATAAAGCTGCACTAGCAACAGAGGGACAGACAGGAATAAGACTGAGATTACCAAATTCAGCACTGTTTAGGTGCGTATTTAAAGCAAAAGCAAGAAAAGAACCACAACAAAAGGAAAAAGTGGGAAAGAAATTAAAATTAACCAAGTGAGGAACAGAACTGTAGGCTTACAGTATGACTCTCAAGAATAGCAAAGTAATTTGCAAATCTGGAGTAAAAAAAGAAGCAGCTACGCTTTTCATTACCACTAAAGAAACTTACACACTGTTAAAAAATCAGCTCTACCTTCTCTTAAAGAAATAAATTGAGGCAATCCATTACCACAGATGGCATTTTTTACAATACAGTGAAACAGAAACCTGTATTTTTAGTTTAGCCTGCCACTGTAATCAAAGTGCAGAGGGACAGGAGGGGGGAAATTTGTCTTAGAGACACTGCTATTAGCAGTAAAATAACCAAGTATAAACACATTCCCATTGTAGTTTTCATTGGAGCACTTTTTCCTGATAAAGCCGCTGTTATACTCAATATAGTTTATAATACATTCATAACACCCAAGTTGTTCATTCCCACAAACAATGCTACAAGTGTGGAATTTTTCCTGCTCCTTGCAGTGACATTTTCTTGGCTTCTTCCTCTGGGAAAAACATTTAGGCAACAACTACCCTTTAGCGCAATATATATAGACCCACTTGGGTTATTTGATAGAGTTCAGTGTGCTGTCTCGCATTTTCACTTTTCTAGTTCGTGAAGAGTTTCCAACTTAGCTCTCTAGATAAGCAATAAAGAGGGCAAAGTCAGCCACCTTGGAGTTTGTAAAACCCCATCATCCACTTGTTTTGAAAACCTGTCTCTCTTTGAGTCGCTAACAACCCCCACCTCCAGAAAGAAGTGAGAGATGAAAAATCATCTTCTCTGGGTAATGAGGTTGTCTTTTCTTGAGTAACAGAGCACCATCTCTTTCCAGAAAGGCTCTGGAGCTTTCTGATACAACAAATGATCTTCTGCTCCACAGCAAAAGACCTCACTTAAGATTACTGATCAGCACTGGATTTGCATAAGATTCTATTAAACTTTTTCACATATTTCTTAAAGACCAATGTGGCAAGTAAATCACAGGTTTCTGAAGATTAAACCATGTAATTTAAATCCTATATATTTAGGAGTACTGCATTTTAACAGGGCTTGTACATTTGTAAAACTACTACATTCAAACAAACATTTTGGCCACATATAGATCCCTGCTTTATGACAAAAGATAATTCTTTCCCTTCCATATCAACAGGAATATAATTGCAGAGTAGCACTATTAACTGCAAATTCCAGAAATCTGTAGATTCCGTTTTATACGAGATTTCTTTCTGTAAGAATTCAAATTCTCTAGAAAATAGACATTTTTTCTAAGAAACACTGTTTTCTGGTTTCACTGAGCATTCCACTAAATGATCAATAAATGCCTGTTCCCAACGGCAGCCACATGAAATATTTTCAGTGTGCAATCAGGAAGACAGACAACATTTAGAAAACTGCCAGAACACAGCTACTAAAACACCGTTCCCAGATCTTTGAGGTTGTTTGGCAAAAATACTGCAAACTGATTAGTTCTGAAGAGCAACATTGTTCAGATTAGCATCACCATCCACTAAGCATCCAAAAATCAGAGACTCCCCTTACCCCAAATGGTGGATATGAAGCAGCAGCAGCAGCGGAGGCAACACTCACTGCGGGAGGTGGTATTCCTGAAGAAGAAGGTGGGAACAGACCCAAGGCATTCAGATTTAATCCAGGAATTAAATGTGCTTGAAGCTGCAATGGCAGAAGAATTATTTAAGATTTACAATCCTGGTTATTAACTTTAATCAAAATCCTAGTTGGCATAGGCTATTAACCTTTTGAGATGTCAGTATATTTTTAAAAAAAAAATTTCATCTCCATTACCCTGAGGACTCTGCTTCAAAACTATTTCCCACACACATGCCCAGACCAGTAACATTAAAACACACAGTAGGAAAGGCAGCTGGGGCTCACTTGCTACAACTTAATCAATGAAACATAGCACAAACTTTATAGCAGGAAATTCAGGCGATAGTACAATTTACTTTTAAAGTGAACAAAATTATCAGAGAAATAATGTAATAATTTTGGCTTTATATTAAAGAGTCAGCCCTATAGAAACAGAAAAAGCCTGTCCACAAGCCCTGACTTTTCATACGCTGGGGGTATACACCACACTATTACCCCACCACCCTCCCTCCCACGCCTTAATACAACCAATGAAGTAAAATACCCCTGGCATTTGCTGGGAAAGGATCAGCTGTAAAATTGCGTGTCCCTTACTTGACCACTGCGAAAAGTGGCAGCGTCATGTGGTAGGAAGCCTTTGTTATCCACGATACAAAACTTGTCAGTAACTTTTCTCACTTTTCCAGCTTACTGCCCAGTAATGTGACTATGCTTTAGAAATAGCTCAGCTAGAGACAGACACCACCTGAAGACATCAAGATAAGCCAATCTTGAGACCCCAAAAAACCCCAAAAACCTCATCAACTGAAAATCTACCCTAATACTCTAAACTTGAAATAAATAAAAAGAAAATAAACTAAACTTGAAATCCATCAGTAACAGAGGTAGTTTTCTGCTTATCACACCGTTGCCAAACACCCTCAAGCTCACCCCATGTTCCTGCTCGCTAAACCAAGCAAAAATGTATTGCTAAAATACCTCATTGTGTCCTGGGGTGTAGTTTGTGTCCTGCAATTTGCTTATAGTATGGGAGGGAGGGGAAAAGCAGGGAGAGTATTCTCTCCAGCCAGGAGGGAAACCACGAAGAACAACCATTTCTAGAAAATCTGAGACTACTGTAAACTGAAAAAATATTTCGTCTGATTCTAGACACTAAGTTTTGGATACACACTCAAAAAGCTCTTCGCATCTTATCAAAAATCTCAATCGTTTCTCAATATGCATTAGCAATACTTTGGCAAACTAGTGAGGTGTGGGGTTTTTTATCATATAATCACCAATAATCTTCAAATAACTAAATGCCTTTATCATCTATATCAAGAAAAACCCTAATAAAGCTTTCTTAAATGATTGAAAGCAGGAGAGATCCTTGTTCCATATGTTATGCTTTTAACATGACGAGACTGAGAATCACTACTTTAAGAAACATATACAATCTAGAGCATGTAAACCCCAATAGTACATAAATACACATTCCTTCAGGTTTTCTCAGCAAGAAAAAAATGAAATGCTTATTCATTTCCTCAATCTAAATCAGTTTCTCAGTTCCCCTACGCAAAACACAGCAGAAAAAGCCTTCATTAAAATAGCATGCATACATAAACAAATAATTAAAAAACCTCTCCCAAGCCCCACGAATGAATACAAAAGAGGTTGCAACCGGGAAATTCTGATGTGATATTAGGAAAGAAATTTTCACCACGTGTGAGACAGGGCACAGGCTGCCCAGAGAGACTGTGGACTTTCTAACCACAGAGATATGTTCAAGAGGCAACAAGTCCCTACATAGCCTCATTTAGCTTTGAAGCGGGCCCTATATTGAGCAACTCCCCTGCTGAGCCAGGTGACCTCCGGAGGTCCCTCACACCTAAATCTTTCCATGTTTCTAGTTCCAGAAAGGGCCTATGCCACAAGACAACTCACATTCATAGCAGCAATATCATTTTCATAGGACTCCCTGATTTTCTTCATAATTTCTTCCTCAGCCTTGGCACAAGTTTCAATACTGCCTTTAACTGTAATGGTCCTTTCTGGATTATAGAGTGTCAAGTCCTGCAATCTGCAAAATGAAACAGAAGCACAGTTAATTAGCAAAGAGCAGAGGGTAATCCAGGTTATCATTCGAGTGCGATGACATCCGAGCGTGTTGAGTTTGGCCTCCACAGACCGTAGTATCAAACACAAACGTAGGGCTCAAACACGGTTCTCAGAGAATCTGGAGAAACTCTGTCCTCACAGCAAAACACAACAAAAACCACCACAGCGAGGTTTGGCATCAGATGGTTGAACTGTTCTTAGGTGCAACACAGGATGGAAACCATCACGCTCTGTAGGAACATGAGCTGCAGAGCGGTGCAGCACCGTTCAACTTCGTACCCCACACCAGCCCTACCAACAGAGAGAGGGGCTTCAGACGTTTTAGACATCCCAGAAACACAGACCGTAAGAAACTTTCTTTCCTTGAGAACAATAGCAGATTCCTTAAGGAAGGAGGGGGAAAAAAGCCCAACCCTCAGTGAAACTGCAGAAGAGCCTCCAAATCCTCATAACAGGAAGACCAAAAGCTGTCTGCAAGTCAACATTTGCTGTGAAACACTAGTAACTCCTCAGGGAAAATGAAAGGGTTACAGCATTAAACTAGTGCTTTGTTCGGTAACAAATGCTGACCTACTACGGTAAAATGGAAGGAACCGACTGGGAAGCCATGGCATATCCATGTACTGAGGAAAGGTGAGTTGAAGGGGTGAAGACAAAAAAAAAAAAAAGGCCAGAGCAGGATGCAGGAGGGATGAGGAAGCCCATGGCAGGAAGGAGAGAGGAGGAAGCATGCAAGCCTTGCTTTCTTGCACAGCGGGCAGCGTGGCAACCTGCGCATCTCCGTTAAGCAGCGGCAAGCACGAAAGGCATCCACAAAGCAATCCTTAAGTTTCTGGTGTGCGAGCACTGAGTTACTGCCTCAGGAAGGAAAGTGGTAGAAAACAACCCAAAGAAGAGAGGAAACACTTTCCCAAACCAGCTGCCTTACTTTAACTTTATGGACAAGCTTACCAAAAAGCCTAAATGAAGAGATCAGGAGAAAGACTCATTAGACAAAGCAGAATCAACGAGCATATATGCTCTCTTTTACATACCAGTTAAACCAGGCGACTTCACGGGGCTATTTCAGGCATAGCATGGCAAGTATAATCTTGAGGCCAAGATTTTAGTGCAAATAAACCATTAACTCTGTGAGCATTTACAGACAAGGTGTTATTTGTGTTCTCATCAATAAAGACAGGTTGGTTTCACAGAACGAAGACCGTTATCCCATTTACCCTGTACATTTTTTTTTTTGCCTTTAAGAAATAGCATTAACAGTCTCCATACTGTTTGCAAACAAAAAGTTTATGCCAACACATTTAAGAGAGCATGCTGACCTTACAAAACTTGTTCTTGAAATAGGCATTTAGATGCTTTTTCTCCAAATGATTTTTTTCTTCCTCAGACTAGTTCCATAAATGTTTACCTACCTTCGGGAAGGTCTCAGGGGTTCTTTCACCCAATTTTGAATTTCCTCTTTGAGGAACATCATTCACTCTTAGCTTCCTTGCCTTCATTTGAGCTATTTTCTGCAGTAAACTTTGGTTTTGGTCTCCTGCGTGTATTCACACCTTTTCATACATCTTCATGTGTCTTCCAAACTTTCTCCCTTTCCTACAACCTATAAGCCTTATTCTCACCATTTCTGGCTAAAGCCAGACACCCTCGAATGCTTGAAAGTTCACATCAGAGTATTCATTATTCAGAACAAGAGGTTCTCTGAAGATATTACTCCAGAGTAAACTGCTATTAACAGCTAAGCTTCTACAGAGATGTTGATCTAATCAGTGATTTGCAGATTTCCAGTGAAAGTGAAAACTCTTGTTTAATCTCATCTAAATTTGAGAAGGTCTCAGTTACCTTCACAAACTCACAGACCAAAAGCTATTACTTTGAAGCAGAGTAGCCAATGTATCCCAGTTTGGCTGCTAGCAGCCAAGAGGGACAGAACTGATACTAAAAATACTTTTTTTCAGTATTCATTTGCTTTATTTCCTTCCCTTTTGTCCAAAAATTTAATCCATACCAGAAACTAAAATCACTAGTTTCACTCATTTTCACACATAGCTCAGAACTGGTCCAGGCTTATAGTTTCAAACCCTTGTCATTACATACGGTATAATATGTTAAAAACAACTGACACTTAAAATAATAGTCTAACACAGGCTCCATGTAGCCTATGTTATTTTTAGGCTTGGTCTTGACTGAGTTTACGATGAAGACTCACTGTTTACATTAAATTTAACTGAGCTTAAGTAACAGTTTAATCCGCATTATGGAAAGACCTCTGAAAGGCTGTTATTTCAGTCTTCAAAACACACATAATATTGTTGTAAGGACTCTGTACCTGAACATACTGCAGCAGCATTGCTGCTATTTGAGGCATCTCACCCAAAAAATTAGGCCACCAAAAACTTACGGAGATATCGTGATTTTAGTATCTGTGTCCTGTTCAATTTTCTTCAGGTTTCTTCCTTCTTTGCCAATAAGTCGGCCAACAAAGTTGTTATGTGCCAATATCTTCAACGGAATTTCTTCTGTACTGTAATGGAGGTTACACCCAGTGAGACTTTGAGACAAGAAGGCAAATTTTTAAGCATGTTTATTTTCATAGAAGTGTCTACAACTCCCATTCACTTACACATGTTTATACCAAATGCACAAGTCCAAGTGCGATGCACATTTCAGGACTAGCTTCATCGTAACGTACCTGTTAAATAAAACTCAGACTGAAAGTAGCAAGAGCTGTTGGGAAGGAAGAAATATACCTTAAAGCTTTTAGTGAGAGCTCACAACTTGTTATGCTTACTCTGATTTAAAGGTACTAGCTGCTCAAGAAAGTTCAGTATTTGCTCCAGTTCACCTCAAAATCACAGCCAGACAGTGGCTGAAACCATAGATATGTGCTGGGGCTAATTAAGCAAGTGGACTGTCCTGAAAGGAAAGAAGTCTTAGTTCCTTTACCTACTTAAACATGAATAACGGCAAGAAAGTTTCACTTGTTAACAGTTTTTAAAGACTACAACTTTAAATGGAATCAACAAGAAATCAGAATTTTTAATGCTTCCACCATGAAATGCCTTTTACTCACAATTTAGTATCTTGAGCTTCCTTTTGCATGATCTCCATAATAATTTTACAAGCCGTTGAGCAGCCTTCAGGAGTTGAGTGGATGGTAATTGGTTTCTCAGCAGCACCTGCATTCTCTTTACGATGAATATCAATTCTTGAAAGAAAGAAAAACACTAACTGTAACCACGTACTGTATGATAAGCCTCGCGTATTTCCAACTCTCATAAAACTAATTTATTTTGAGCTAACACTGACTACATTTAAGTGGTTTAATTTTGCAGAGTACACAGCTACTTAAACATCTCCTAAATATTATTTTTCTGTATTATAAAGAGCCTCTCCTATCCCGATTTCGCCAGCTAAACCCCATCTTTGTTGACACTGGGATCTCCTTTCCTCATTAGACTCCCATCAAGATATTCAGGGGAGTTGTTAGATAGACAATCTGAAGTAAACCACTGAAGACAACATTTCATCAGGCTTTCCCAATGCTCTATCACCGGCCCCTCACTCCACTAATACTGACTGTGCAGCTACAGTACAGCCAGGCTTTGTCCCAGCTTGTCTCTTTTATTGACCTCAGCAGCTGGATCTCCTACACTTCCCTGCTAGCAAGTAGCATCGGGGTACTCGCATTCATCCTCAAGATTACTTTCCTGTGATTTTTAAACCTAAAATTTGTCCTGACATTGCCTTTCATCTAGCTCCACTCTCTACCACCCTAAGACTACGAGCCTTAGTCTGCACCATGATTAATGTATCTGTAGGAATTTAACAAAAATTATGACCTGTATCAAGACAATGCCTTGGATATTATTTGTCCTGCGCCAACAACTGCAGGTCATATACTCTTTCCACCTCTGCTTTTTGCTTCCTCCCCTCTCCCCCAAATCATAGCTGTTTCTAAACTTAAAACAACCCCGCTGCTTTTCAGTAAGTCCCTTTATTTTGCCAGTTCTTTCCGATACTGAAAATCCATTTTGTTTCACAATGTAGCGTTTTCCAAGAAGCCCATGGCAATTTTTGGTGCAACTAGAAGCAGATAACATTTCTTTTTTTATCCCCAAACCAATAAAATCATCATTCTTGAAGTCACGTATCTGTAAAGTTAGCAACCTGTGATTATTTCTGCTCTATCCAGCCTTCTTTTAAGAGATAAAATCTTTCCTTATGCCAATCTTCCAGGATTTTTATAGTCCAAGAATTCGACGTTTTAGATATCACCTGAAAAATTGGTTACCCTTAGGCAAATTACAACCAAGTCTTGTCAGGACATCACAAATCTCTTAAACCTGTGTTGTTAAACACAGCAAATAGTCTCCTGGGTTACAACATGCTAATGAGAGGTTGGAAGGAGCATCACGATAATCCTGGGTTGGGGGTGGGGAGGGGGTAATTAGAGAGGACTCCCTTATCCTCATTAACCACTCTCAAAACTGAAACCACCCACCCTCCTACCCCCCACATACAGCTTGTTTCCAGGTCCTGCTTGCTCTAACTACCAAGCTGGGAGCTCATACCAGCGTATTGCTGAAGGCAGCATCTTTCACTCTCCGCTCTTAAGGGTATCCTGGAAGAATTCTTTAAATACGATCCCCACCTCCCTCTGCTTCTGCGCTGAGCTCTTCCTTGTGGGTAGGGATTTAACATGCACTGAAAACAATCTCCTCCAGCGTCTCTAGACCCTAGTGCTCTAAGCTGCTTAGGTCACTTAGCAGCTTGCTTTTTGTCTCCCGTGCATTTCCTTAATCTGCATTTTGGCTTGGTCTGCAACTTGGTAGCAACCAATGTATTCACCAGAAATGCATGGGGGTGAGTAGTAAGTAGTAGTGAGGGGAGAAAAGAAAGATTATTTTTTCTTCCCCTCGCCCCTGCTCTTGAATTAAAAACATTTATAAATCCTAAGAATGCCCTAAACAAAACTAAAGCTAGAATAAACACTTACAGACTTTAGTACGTCGTCACACTGACTGTATGTCCTAACAAACCAACATATTACAGCTCTTTCGGTTTCACTTTTTGTGCCAGAACCTTATTAGTACATCTGTAAGAAAACTCTCCGGCATCAAGTACCATCCTACTAGCATTGCCTAATTTCATTTTTTTTAAAAAGGGAAAAACAAGTCAGCTAGTATTGGAACATGTATCAAGGACAGAATCCTTAAATAAATCTTGCAAAAGAATTTGTATTTACTGTTATCTTCATTTGCTGTCTGACCACGCAGATTAGTTGTGAAGTTTTACAAGTTTCTCTTTAGCTGCAAGATGAGGACACAATATTAAAACTTAGAATTACAGTTTTGTAAAATAGCTTACTTGGACTGTGTCTGCTTTGTAATGTTTCTGATTGTCGCTCCTTCTTTCCCAATAATGGCTCCTACAAACTGCGTGGGAACCAGCATCCTTAGAGGAACGTCCGACTGTGGTTTCTGCCTTGTGGTTGCACCGGGTGACCCTTGTCTTGGAGGACCCCTCTGTCCAAATCCACGTCTTCCCTGGGGATGTTGTTGCGGAGGTTGCTGGGCTGCCATTTCATCAGGGATGTATGCAACTTTCAAGGAATAATTTTCAAGCTGAAACCCATTCAGTTTTTCTATTGCTCTGTTTATTTGAAAAGGGGAGGAGAGAGGAGGAAAAAAAAACAACAATACACAATCACATGCAGGGCCTTGTGAAATGACAAGTCATTCAGATACAAACTTCTGCTCTTTCTAAATTGCATGACAAAGCTAATAATTGGTTCCAAGAGGAAAAGTTACATTCAAAATTCTTCAGTCAAGGTTTTGAATACACAACTTCTTTTTTAAGTCACCATATTAAGAACTACAAGTTAGTTCTTGCTTGCTTTGGGCTTCTGCGCACTTTAAAGGTTTTGCTGGTGCACCCCTATCAGCAAAACCTCACAGGAGACAGAGCTTATACATTCAAAAGCATTCTTTTGCCTGATTTAATTTAAATCAGTTTCCCAAATAGAATTAAAGCTGCACCAGAGGGAAAACTTTTTAGCTGCTATCACGGCACCTTCATTAGGGTTTTTGCCAGCACAGCTATTTGGCTGAAGTTTTCGCAATAACTGACATAACTATGACAGAAAAAAAAAAAAAAAATGTGGAAGACAGCT